GCTCCCCTCCGCCGGGGCGGGACGGGCCCCGCGGGGCGCGGCCGGAGCGGTGTTGGGGATCTCCCGGGGACCCTGAGGATTTGGGGGTCCGCTCATGGTGCTGTCTGGGTCTGGGTCCCCTCATGGTGCTGTGTGGGTCTGGGTCCCCTCATGGGGTGGTGAGAGGACCGTGGGGACCTTCATGGGGACCCTGAGGGTTTGGGGGTCCTCTCATGGTGCTGTGGTGCTGTGTGGGTCTGGGTCCCCTCCGGGCATGGTGGGAGGACTTTGGGTCCCCTCATGGTGCGATGGGGCTCTGGGTCCCCTCATGGGGTGGTGAGAGGACCATGGGGTCCCTCATGGGGACCCTGAGGGTTTGGGGGTCCCCTCATGGTGCTGTGTGGGTCTCCTCTCAGGGCGTGGTGGGAGGACTTTGGGTCCCCTCATGGGGACCCTGAGGGTTTGGGGGTCCTCTCATGGTGCTGTGTGGGTCTGGGTCCCCTCCGGGCATGGTGGGAGGACTTTGGGTCCCCTCATGGTGCGATGGGGCTCTGGGTCCCCTCATGGGGTGGTGAGAGGACCATGGGGTCCCTCATGGGGACCCTGAGGGTTTGGGGGTCCCCTCATGGTGCTGTGTGGGTCTCCTCTCAGGGCGTGGTGGGAGGACTTTGGGTCCCCTCATGGGGACCCTGAGGGTTTGGGGGTCCTCTCATGGTGCTGTGTGGGTCTGGGTCCCCTCCGGGCATGGTGGGAGGACTTTGGGTCCCCTCATGGTGCGATGGGGCTCTGGGTCCCCTCATGGGGTGGTGAGAGGACCATGGGGTCCCTCATGGGGACCCTGAGGGTTTGGGGGTCCCCACATGGTGCTGTGTGGGTCTGGGTCCCTTCAGGGCATGCTGGGAGGACTTTGGGTCCCCTCATGGGGACCCTGAGGGCTCGGGGTCCCCTCATGGTGCCATATGGGGTCTTTGGGGGTTCCTCATGGTGCCATGTGGGGTTTTTCACTCCCTTCGTGGTGCCTTGTAAGGTCTTTGGGGTCCTCTCATCGTGCTATGTGGGTCTGGGTCCCCTCATGGCATGGTGGGAGGACCGTGGGGTCCCTCATGGGAACCCTGAGGGCTTTTGGTCCCCTCACAGTGCCATGTGGGTGTTTTCACTCTGGTGCCATTTGGGGTCCCCTCATGGTGCCATGTGGGGTCTTTGGCTCCCTCGTGGTGCCATGTGGGGGTTTTCACTCCTTTCATGGTGCCGTGTAAGGTCTTTGGGATCCTCTCATGTGGGTCTAGGTCCCCTCATGGTGTGGTGAGGAGGGCTTTTGGTCCCCTCATGGTGCCATGTGGGGGTTTTCCCTCCCTTCATGGTGCCGTTTGGGGTCTTTAAGGTCCCCTCATGGTGCCATGTGGGGGCTTTCCCTCCCTTCATGGTGCCGTTTGGGGTCTTTAAGGTCCCCTCATGGTGCCATGTGGGGGCTTTGGGTCCCTCAAAGTGCCATATGGGGTCTTTGGGTGTCCCACATGGTGCCATGTGGGGTCTTTGGGTCTCTCCTGGCATGGTGTAGGGTCTTCGTGTCTGTCATAAAAATCCACAACTGACCAAGGGGAGCATCAGTCAGTTGCGAATTTTAGTGAGAGGTCCCTGCTCACCATGTCTCCCTGCCCTTCATGTCACCCACGTTCTTCACTGGTGTTTGATGATGGTTCTCCATCAGCACAAACGAGCTGAGTGGGGTGGAGCTTTCCCCACTGGCACTGGGGTTAGGTCAGGATCAGGCCCAACGGCTTTGTGGGCACGAAGCTGGCAAGGGAGATGAAAGCGTGTCTGCTGGAACTGACAGAAACGGTTTCACTGGCCTCAGCAGGTTTTGCAACACTTTTTATAGCAAAAACCCCAGTCCCGCGGGTGGTGGTGACTTTAGTGGGGTAAGATGTGACCCTGGTGCTGCGGTCCCAAGCATCATCTTGGCATCCGCAGCTTTGCAGCTCCATGGAACACACAAGGAAAAGCGACGATCCCTTTCCAAATAACCCTTGTTCACTCATCTCTTCCTAGACTCAACAACTGGGGTAGCGGCTATTCCCAAACGAGCTGTCACCAAAACAGAGGGGGCTCACCGCATTTCCATGGCCCCTCAGCAGCTTTAGCGCCTGAAGCAGGAGACAAGCTCCTTCTCTCTGCTGGAGAGCTCAAAGCCGGCACTCCCTACAGCTGCCAGGCAATGACATCTCAGAGCTGGTCTCATGATTCCCGCTAATGCCACAAAGAACCCTTATTGTATTAGCATCTCGACGCAGCATCAGACTAATCCCTCCGGCCCGCGTCGTACAGGCTGTTCGGAGAGCCTTGCTCCAGCACTGTGCCAGCCAGCATATGCCTGGGAAGTCACCGAAACCTTTTCAGCTGAACATACGCTGGCCCAGAGCAATTCTGCGTTATCCTCGTGACTTTTGCTTTTGTTGACGCGGGAAGAAAGTCACTGGTGATCTGTCACTGGGGCATCATGCGAGCTGATCCGCTTGACTCGCAAACGCCGGCTGATGTTAGGAAACTGAAATGCGGATTCCAGCACGACCGCAGCGCCGATGGCAAGCGGCAGTAGCAGATATGGTGCGGTGGGGATGGCGGTTGCATGTTTGCTTCATGTGTGGGCTCCTAAAGGAGCTCGGCTGCAATTCCCTTCTCCCCACGCTCTCCAACAGATTATCTGGAGTAATGCAAACGAAACGTTGAATATTAGTCTGTAGCTCAAGGAAGGGGAGTGATTTCTGATGCCAGATTAGAAGCCAGACATGGGCCTGCCTGCTAGCAAGCGGAGCTGTCATGCTGAGTTATTTCACAAGGCAAGCGGTTATGCTGCCAGATGACGACAGCCTGTGCATTAACATTACCATAACAAACTGCCGGATGGAAGAGGGCCTGTGAGCCTCCGCGCGTTGCGGAACGCAACAGGGATCGCGTCATCAGCCCTGAAGCGCGGCCAGTTTTGAGCAGAGGCAAAGGCAACCCCCCTCCTTGCCCTCCCAAGCTTCAGAAGCCAGAACGAAGCAGTTCCAAAGTCTTTAAAAAAAACCCCAAACACAACAGCTTATTAGATTGCCCCACGTGTTTTGCATATTTAAACTACTGGCTGAATTATTTAGACGTGTTGCAAGTGTAGCCTGCAGGTAGTGTAGCCGAGCGGGGTCCAGGAACGGCGGCAGGAGCGAGCCCCCAGCCAGCGCCGAGCAGGCGATAGATCCTCTGCAGCAGACACTGCTGGGGGAGGGTGCGCGTGGCACCCAGCGCCTCCAGCACCCTCAGCGGGGACCGCAAAAAGCTGCCTCGATAAATTACCTCGGAAAGGTAGAAAAGCAGTAACAGCAAAGCATGGCGAGAAGGGTTCACACGGCATTGCTGATGGTAGGATTTCCGGGTCTGTGGAAAGTCATAAAGCTGAGTGTTACCCTTGGCCTTAGTCTTCTGATGTCTTATAATAACCTGCCTGTGTGTTTTATCTTTTATTTGTCTTAATTTATTGCTTCCCTTGGAAACAACACGTGACCTCACTTCTGATGACTAGCTTCTGACTGGAAAAGAAATGGAGCCAGGGAGAACATCTCCCACGCACGCGGGGAGAAGGGGAGCGGCGGAGGGAAGAGAGGGAAAGCACTCAGCGGGGTGGGAAGGAAGGAGAGACGCGTCCGTCGCCTGGCATC